CAGAGCAGCTTCAAATTGTGATGTCAGCTATTTCCAAGTGAAGTAAGGCAGCTGATTCGAGTTACATACTATTGCAGCTTTCGCATGGCTTGTTAAGCCTGCTAATAACCTGGATTCTGCTGCGCAAACTGATGCGAGTAAACATTCGCCTAACCTCAAATCCATGAGCAAAGCAGCAACTTTGATCGAAGTTGAATGACATGCGATAACTAGCATCTTACCTGATACTATGAGAGCACAGTTAGGTCCAGTAGTGTGAATATTTCCCATTATGAGTTATTTTGATTGTTGAAAGAGCTCCACAAATATTCCACTTCACGTGAAACCAAACTACACACAATGCACGAAACACACTTCGAACCGAACGAACTAAAGAGAACCCGAAATTACTTTCTTCCGAGCTGATGTCTGCACTACCGATCGATGCTTGATAATCTCAAACGATAAATCGTGATAAAATTCAAGAAAATAACAGAAGCCGCCCGCGTGCTTATCACTCGTATCACTGTTATCACGAACAAAACATGAATCACGAATTCCGGGAAGTCGTGTTGTTTACAAACTCCACCCTGCGCCGGAAACAGGAAATCACCGGAAACGCGTAGTTTCCCGCCATTTTTGTTCCTTGATTTCAAATAAGCCCGCGATTATTTAAATCGACGCTCCGACCGTTGGTCGTGCGCACTTTTTAAAACGAAGTCACAACCAGTGAAAAATTAAGTAAATTGAAGTAAATTTTCGTTTTAGAGATGAGAAATACAAACTCGTTTATTGTTACGACGAGATATTTGTTTTTGTCTGAATAAACAACTTAACCTTTCATATACGGTTATACAGGATGATCCAAAAGTCTCTTTCCACCCCCACTAACTTTTTACATATTTGAGGTAAGGATTTGAAACTTGGGGATGTTCTTTAGTCATAGGGAGCTACTATTTAGCCCTCCTAATTTTTTTATTGGGGCTCTCTTGGGGGGGGGGCGCTCTTCAACTTTTTTTTCTAAATAGAAAGAATCTCCCTTGTCATACCTCGATTACTTACCGAAAATTGGCACCGGTTTTTTTTTCGATGGATGTGCGCGAAATTCAGTATTTGAGAGAATTTTGACACAAATAAATTGAATTTGACGTTAGTTTTTGTTGAAAATGCCTAATTTTTCCATAAGGCGGCTGGTCACAGTTCAAAATGGCCGAAAATCGGCACTTTGGAATTTTGCTGATGAATTAGCCGGGGAATATTTTAGCATTAGAAAAACGAATTTAAAGTTTGGTTTTTGAAAAAGAAAAAAAAATTGGCAGGCACTTCTAAACTGAATACAGCCGAGTAGAATCAAATAAGTTTTGCTCTACCATGTCTCCCGACTTTTTAGCCCTTCAAAATGGAAAAATCTGACCTTTTTTTTTTTTAAATTTGTTCAAAATTTTACGTTTAATCAGATCCCAACATCGTTTTAGGCAGTTTTTGCCATTTAATATCAGAATTTTGGCCCTAAACAGCTGAAATGTCCTGTACCGTAGCCTGTCTGCGACTCAAGTGCGCAACTTTAACGCTTCATAACCATCATCTTGCATCTAAATACTTCCACTTCTGCTGTAAATTCACACTCAACTTGTACTTAACTTATTATTTTCAGTTATATTTATCCAAATAAGTGAAAATATTGACCGTCTTTTCGTCAAGCAGCCATGTCTGCGGAATTCGCGTCCTGTACCGTAGCCCCCTTTTTTCAGCATCATTTCGTCCGTTAGAGTGCAGCACTTATGAACTTTGTTTACTTTTTTTGCGTTATCGTGACTATCACACGCTGATGTCGAGCAGAGGAAAAAAAACCGCAATGAAACAGTAAATTTTGACCGTTTTTTATGAGTTTCTAGGTTTAACGACCATCTAGGATGTCCTTACCGTATACCTACCTTTTTAGTGCATAAATCACTTCAAACTCTCGAATTTTGGTATTTTTTGATACGCTCTGATATCTTAACCTCAAATCCAGAATTTCAACCACATGCGTGAATATGCCCGAGCACCGTTGCCAATAATCACACGATTTGTCCGCACCGTAGCCGTCCGTACCGTAGCCCGTAGCCGTCCGGTACCATAGCCCGTAGCTGACGCGCGATGCGGCCGGGTCTACGGTAAGTACGGACAAAATGCGAAAGTCATCCAAAAATCGGTGCGCTGTTTGATAGATCATCCCACTTTACTTTATTTTATCTATCACCAAAATTTGGAATTTAAAAAAAAAAAGAGAGACTTATTTTTTTTTAGTACGACGCGACTTAGAGGAAGGAGTTTTTTTTTTCGATGATAGCATAAGGATCGCCATCTTTTTATTTTTTTCATTTTTTCTTTTAGAACTTTGAGTCCTCTTTTTCGTCTGAAGTTCATAGCAATTTATTCGTTTATTATTTATTCGTTAATATCTAACTTCTTTTTTCTTATTGTCCTTTAAATATTTATTTAAGGTGATTTGTGACCACATCTTCGATAAACTTACCTTTTTGTTTTCATTCTTATTTTGTAAAAGTGCACCTAAAACGTTCTAACGTTATGTCAAGCTTGTTTTAAGAACTCAGCTTCTAAGATTTGTCCCTAATTATTTAATGCGTTTACTTTAAAATAAAAGCAGTTCATTATTTTTGAAAAACTGATTTACTTACTCTTTTTACCTTTATTGCCTGTAATTATTTATAAAAGTGGCACTTATAAGCTATGCTATAACTTAGCAGTTTATTCCCCAATGAATTTCAGTACTTTATAATTCGGCCCTTGCATACAGTAATATTTACGAATGCCTCTTCGTCCTTACCGTAGCCCGTTTGTCCGTACCGTAACGTTATTGTCCTGTACCGTAGACCAGTAAAAAATTGTACAATTTGTAGCTTTAAAAAGAGCAAACCTGTAGAAATTCTTTAAAAAAGTTGTCTACCACATCTTCTAAGTTAGTTCTACAGAAATTAATTAAAATTAAGCGTTTGATTACATTTCCTGGCTTTTTTAGGAGAAAAATGATGGCGCAAAATTCTAGAAATCGGACTTTAGAGCAATTTGGAGGCTAAATTTTGAAAGTAAAAACTTTGAAGGATATTTTGTTTTATTCTTCTACAAGAATATAGCTCTATGAGTGCAAAAAAACTTAAAACGGTATTATTATCGCATGTATTGATAGGAAAACAAGCCTGTTTAGTTGGTCTACGGTACGAACAAAAAATTTAACTTCCAGTGATAAAAGAGGCCAAAAAAAAATTTCTGTTGAAAACGAAGATTGACCACTATTAGAATCGACTTTCCAAGAGTATGAGGACTTCAGAAAACATGCTGAAGTTTTAAAATAACTAAGGTCACTTTTTTAAAGAACGATGGCTCCAAGAGCAAAACTTATTTGATTCTACTCAGCCGCCATTTTTAAAATTCGGTCTCTTGAATTTTTTCTTAATGAAGTAGATTTTCCATCTTACAGGATTCATGAATATCTTTCAGTAATTACTCAAATCCCTGTACCCTCTCCATATCACGAGCCTTCGCTCTTTGGATCCAGCAAGTTGGCAAAGTTGCTTTCCCTCCGTTTAAACCTGTGTTAAATAATCGATTCTTATCGGAGCACCTGCCCCTTCCAGAATCGATACATTTCCATGGGCTTATATGGAGAGAAAACAATGTTAATATGTGGGATTAAAGGGAGCAAAAAAAAACTTGCAATGTTGTAAACAAGATTTTTTGCCCTTTCAGCTGACTTTAGAGAGGAGGATTTTTTTAATCATGAAAATTTTAAAAATAGGAAACAGGTTTCTTTTAATGAATTTATTAATTTATTTATTTATTTATTTATTTATTTATTTACAATCACAAGCAGTCATTTTGAGGGAAACAGTTGATGTGGTGAAATAGTAGACGGCTGAGGCCGATTAATGGCAAGGATATGCTTTGCGGCAATATTGATTTAAAACAGGATGTATATTTTGGAAGCTCCTGTATGACAGGAAGGACTGATGATAAAGTTTTAACAAAGAGTCTCATGTAAAAATTTATTGACCTAGCACGGAACGTAGCAAAAAACAATATTGTGTTCATACAGTATTTTCAATAACTCTCACTTAATTGACTTACATTTAAAAAACATTACATCGTACAATTTAAGTACCTAAAATATAATCGGTTTGGCAAAACCCCTAAACTTAATGAGAACATTTAGTACGATTTTACGAAGTCGCATCCGAATTTTCAAAAATACCTCTTCTGTAAAACAAGATTTAAATTGCTCATGATTTTTTATTACAATCTTAATCCCGAGGTCATTCAACTCCCAAACGTGATCTTTAAATTTTCTGGACCTCTTTGGAATCTTGCGGTTGCTTACAGATGAAGGAAGCAGAGAGCGGCCTAAAAACGGGACATTTTTGGAATACCTTTTCCTTCTCCGTCGAGAAGGAAAATAAGGATAAAAATTAAATATTCACTTTGATTAGTGTGCACTCCGCTCCTTGCCACTCCGTTTGAGGAACCTTTGATCTCCTGGATGTAAGAAGTGAAATTCAGGATTCTATGGGTAAAAAGCGGTCACATCAAATCACAATTTCTTTAAGAGGGACGGGGGCACGAGCTTAAGAACCCAAGTAGCACAGCGCAATGAAAATATTGAAATTTAATTGCAATTTGATTTCAATAAATTGTAATTCTTTCACCATGAAATTACAATATTTTTACATCATTTAGTCGGATTATGTCGATTTTAAAAAATCAACAAAATGAGCTCCATATCCTAAGTAGCACAGTGCAACAAAAATATTGAATTTAAATTGCAATTTAATTCAAATACCATTGTAATTTTTTTACCATCAAATTGCAATATTTTTACATCATTTAGTCGATTTATGCCGATTCTAAACAATCAACAAAATGAGCTCCATGTGTCAGTAAGGTAAGCAATGTGCAATGCAATGAAAAATAACAACTTATTTCAATTTTATTGCAAAAGTTTCAATAAATGGGGCCCCTTCAAATAGGAGCTAGGCAACATACACAACACTCAATTGAATTGCAATATTTTTACAATGTAATTGCTACTTATCGCAATCGGTGCTACTTGGGAAAAAGCAGGTCTTTACCGGAGCACCTTTATCACGCTTATGACGGAAAAAGACGGTGGATAAGGACTTAACCTTTACAACCAGTTGTGTGGGCTAGGATTAAACACCGAACTTCCAAAAAAAAGTGTCGTGAAGTGTCTAAGATAAGGTCGCACAGACATTTTTCCAATTCCAAATTGATGGTGAGACCAAAGAATGAAACCCTCGTGGATCTCGGTTGCGGTTGCAGAAAAGAAAAATAAATTATTTAAGATTAAAACTTTATCATAATTTTTCGGGAAAATTTTAGAGATGAAAGGATCAGAGCCAAAGGATCTTCATTACATTACAACGTTGCGAGATTTTACTCAACAATACTTTGTGATTCATTTCAGAATTGTTGCGTGTTTTCATTCAAAATGATTCATGTATTTTCTTTGTGATTTGACAACATTTAAAATGTTTAATGTACAACATGCACCAGTTCATAAATGCAGAAATGAGTCATTAAGTAAAACTTCGTAATATTGCGATAAAATTTGGCTATGAATCCTCTTGATTGTTTTTAGACAAGAAAGGAAAAATAAGAGCATAATTTCCGAAACCAAAACTTGTTGGTTTTTATCCATCGAAATGAAACGTTATAGGAACTTTGCAACATCCCAAACCTAGGTACAAGGTCATGCGGTCTCACCATCAAAATACCCTAAACAAGAATAAAGTAAGCAGAAAGGAATCCATTCATATTTTGGAACAAAATTAGTAAGGACTTGTTTTGAGCTTAACGCCGAGCATAAATCTCCGCGCCTTCAAGTTAGGCTACACCAACGACATCTTACCCGTAGTTCGAGGTGGAATTGACAAAATTATTAAAGTGCGACTCGGTGACCTGATCCGTGGGGAACGTGCTCATACCCGTCGTCGTCTCGACCCCCCACGCCTCCTTGATCATATCCGCCAACTTCTCGCCGACCATCACCGTCGGCGCGTAGGTGTGGGCCGTCGGGAGCTGCGGGAAGATGGAGCTATCACACACCCTCAGGCTCTGGATCCCGTGCACCTGGAGCTGCGGGTTCACCACCGCCGTGGGGTCCGACCTGGGGCCCATCTTACACGTGCCGGACTGATGGTGGAGCGTGTACATCAGGTACTTCAAGGCGCACCGCCAGTATTCGTCCGTCCCGAAGGCGTATGGACACCCGGGGATCCGCATCTCGAAGAGCCGGGACCCGAACCTCTTGAACGCCCGCGTCTCCGCGAACTTGACCGCGGTCTTGATCCCCTCGACGAGGACCCTGGCGTCGTCCTCCGACTGGAAGTAGTCGTGCTCGAAGACGGGCCAGTGCCAGGGGTTCTTGTCCTTGAGGCGAAGACGTCCGCGGGACTTGGGGTGCAGGATCATCGGGAGGATCGTCCAAGAGTCGCGGCCGATGACCGGGCCGTAGACCTCGTTGAAGAACTCGTCCGAGATGCCTAAACTCCTCCTCAACGTATCACCGGAAAGCATAGACCCGGAGGCGAAGATCAGCTCGATGTCCGGGTGCTTGGGTATCTTGTTGTGCTTCGTCGAGATGTAGCCCAGTCCTTCTACACCTCCACACAACGAAAGAGGTCCTTTATGGTCCACGAACCAGTCCTTGAAAAGGAGCAGGTCGTTTGCCCGCTCTTCGTTTATCGTCAGCCCTGTCTCGTTGACCAAGAAGGTCAGTCCGGCGAAGGTCCAATGTTCGTTGAGGTTCTCGCCAACCCTCAGGTTCTGTATGACAGGCTTGATGCCCAGTTCCTCCAGGTGTTCCTTCGGCCCGACACCGGACAACATTAGTAGCTGCGGTGTGTTCAACGCCCCCGCGGCGAGGATCACCTCTCTGCGCGCCATAACCGTGCGCCGCTTGCGGTTCTTCACGAACTCCACGCCGATTGCCTTCTTCGTGGTGGGGTCGATGAGGACCTTCGTCACTCGGGACCCGATGGAGACATGGAGGTTACGCCGATGCTTCACCGGTTTCAGGTAGGCTTTCGACGCGCTACAACGGCGACTCTTCAGGATAGTCGTTTGTACCCTGGACACACCAATCGGGGTGCTGTTCGTGTAGTCCACCTCATCGTAGCCCAACTCTCTGCCCGCCTCGAGGAAGGAGTCCAGAAGCTCGCTCTTATAGGGAGCGTAGCCCACGTGTAACTTACCAGTGGTCGAATGGTTAGGTGAATCCTTGAACTTCCTGATTGACGTCTTCTCCGACTTCAGGTAGTAAGGTAGAACATCGTCCCAACCCCATCCAGTGTTCCCGGCTTTCTCGTAGTCGTCGAAGTCTTTACGGTTTCCACGGGTGTAGATCATGTAGTTGATGATGCTGCCGCCGCCCATGCCTTTACCTCTTGGCCATACGCAGCGCTGGTCCTTGCTGCCCAGGCACTGGTTGTCGCGCTTCTCTGAAGTGTAGCCCCAGTTGTAGTCGGTGAAGAAGAGGTAGCTGGCCAGGGCTGGGATGTCCGTGTAGATGGATTCGTCTTTGCCGGCCTCCAGGACGAGGACGTTCCAGTCTTCGACTTCGGATAGACGGCCGGCGACGGTGGCGCCGCCTGGCCCGGCGCCCACAACTATGAAGTCGTAGGTCTCGTAGATTTGCTTGTTGCCGAGCCAAGGGTCTTCTCTGAATGGGATTCCTTGTTTCTTGTATTCTCGGTAGATCTCTTGGAAGACTCCGAGCCCGAAGGAATGGACCTGGACCGCTAGGAGTGCAGCGAGAATGGTTGATAAAATAGTTACCGGCATGGTGGTTTGTATGGATTGATTGTCTTTCTAATCTGATGGTTAACACTTTGGTTTGGAGTGAGAGCTTTTTTCTGAGGAAATTTTGAGCTCTTTATATTATATTTTAATCTTGAATCAGTCTTATATTTCTCTGGAAATCTTTTGGAAGTCTGGTCTGACGGCAGAGGTTACATCTTTCTACATTTTGCTCTGTAAATATTATAGAAGATTTTCTGCACCTGCCTCGGTTATCTGAAACAAAATGAAAGAAAGAATATTAAACTTGTTGACAAGTCTCATGAGGAAAACAATTTTGTTTTATAAAGAGAGTTGCGGAGGATTTTTCAGAAAATATTCTTATATTCTTGTCGGTAAAAATTCTTCTACCTTGACTACGAAAAAAAAAGGGGGGGGGGAGTAATAAATAAATTTGGTATTCAAAATATCTTTTTTTTAACTAAAAAAATGAATCAATCAAATTTTCTTTGAATCAGGGAAAGTCGTTTTAACTGCAAACTTTTTTGATTCTCATGCATAATTGAGGGGCTTGGAGGACAAGGCGCATGTAGGTCTAGTTTTTGCTATTCCGAGAAATACGAGTTTGAAGTTTCGAAATTGCGTGGATCCTTACGGTGGAAATAAAATTCAAGCAGACTTTTTGATGCTTAAAAATTTGAATTTGGCAGCGAATTTTTCACAGAATGTGCATTAAGACTAGTTTTACTCGAGAGTAAAGTTTTTCTATTTCGAAAAATGAGAGAATACTTTACGCATTGCGCAAAACAGCCGGTCGGCTCGGTTGGCGTCAAAATGCACGATGGTGCCTACAGGACCGTTTGAATACTTCACGCGTTGCACCACACAGTACGGTGAACGGTCGGCTCGGTCGGCTTGAACCGCATATTAGCGCCTACAAGGCTGTAGGAATACTTCACGCATTGCGCCAAATACAGAGCGGTCGAGCGCAGTTTTTGCTATTTCGAGAAATACGTGTTTAAAGTTTCATAATTACATGGATCCTTATGGCAGAAAGAAAAATCAAATTGGCTTTCTCATGCTTAAACATTGGAATTTTAGAGCGAATTTTTCACAGAATGTGCATTAAGACTAGTTTGACTTGAAATCATTGATATTTCTATTTTTCTCAAAAACTGATTTTATGCGCCTTGTCCTCCAAGCCCCTCAATTGAAATTGGGAATTAATTGAAGTACCACATCAGTGGGATGTATTGATGCTTCCAACGCGCGCGAAATAAACGCTCCTTTTCGGGTGATCAGATTCACTCGCGGAAAAGTTCGGCATCGCTTGGTTCATGTCAATCGTGTGGCTTTTGTTACCTTTTTTATTATCTCATGGATGCCACTTCTATTTCAGCGTAGGGACATGATCTGCACGGAATTTCAATGTAAGTGCGACCGATCATTTACTTGCAGCAGGAATCAATTGCCCAATTCTGCCGGCAACATCAGTATTCAGGAGGTATCTGTCAGTGACTCATTAAAGCTATTTTGCTCGTAGGGTCGGAGGAAGATGCGTGTGTCATGTGCGGCTCATGAAGTCATGAAATCGTGAAATTTTCTTCCGAATTGATTTCATCCCTCCCTGTCAAGCAACATTGAGCTTCTTCGCGGAATAGCGGATGATTTTGTATTTGTACTTATGGTCCAGTCAACGAAGGGATTTTCGTGGAACAAACAGCGTTGACCTTGGCAGTGGCGTGGCGTGAATGATCGATTATCGATTTCTCCCCATTTGAAGCTATGGTAAAGAATCGATTATTAAGAAGTTCGTTGCGAACACTCTGCTCATCGATCCTTTTCAATAGGTTTAAGTGGCAGATCATTCGATACATTGCAAAGCACGCCACGCCACTGGACCTTGGTGGCAATTCAATAAATGAATCTTGCATTCTAATCGCATTTTTCAATGTCTGTGAATCATTAAATATATACATTCGTTCAATGAAGATTATGCGCGGTTGATTTGAGAGCTCGTTATTTGGACGTAATTCTATCATACGGAATTATGTGCATTATAACGTGAGCCCTGTTATGCACATATTCTTATGGGTTTCAGGGCTCATATCTTAATGCACATAGTTCCGTTTGATAGAAATACGTCCATTTGTAATAATTTAAAGATTAGGCTACGGACGATCTTGGAATTAATTGTAGCGATTGTAAGACTACATATTGCAATTCAGAATCGATAGATCTCGCTGATTCATGAAAGTACCTATTTGAATGGGGAAACTAATGACACATGCGCTGTTTTTAACATGAATTAAGCGCATAAACTGGACGTTTTAAAACATGCTTAACTGTTCGCTATTAGTTTAAGGCCTTAAAGAGGGTCCTGCTTCCATACTAAAAATAGTCTTGTCACGATCAGTGTTTTTAGATTTAGTTTTAAATTTAAATTTTAAAATTTGAATCTTCGTTAAACCTGTTTTTTATTGATTTTAAAATTGAATCCTCCACGAGCATGAATATTAATGAGATCATTATGGAAAGAGTTCAATTTGAATCACATATTAAATGCTCACCAGTAAAAAATCGGACGGTGAGATCAAACTACAATAAATAAAATCATTAAATAAATACATATTCTTATTACTTAATCAAGTTACTTTCCCCCTGCATAAATAAAAGAAATTCATACGGCTTTAAATCTCTGAATGAACGGTAAAAAATTACGCTTGCCCTTCTGGCCGCACCTCAAACTTTCGTAATGCAGCCTCTGTAATTTTGGAAAACATCGATCATTCGTAAATCTCTTCCTTTAGCGCCATTTTATGCGAAGTAATTTATATTTTGATTATTTACGTACAGTCACGGGGTATAGTTTAGAGAAAAAGGCAATTGAGAGACCGATTAAAAAAATTAAGTCTCGTAATTTATTCAGCAAATGGATGTTGCTCCGTGTAACTGTAATGGCGATCAAAAATTGAGTGTTTGCGCACGAAACATTGTTGAATTTACCATAGACTTAGGTTCCTTTTCCTGGGGACGACAATGGATGGTGGAACTACATAAAACCATGTTTATCGGTTTGCAACGTTGCAGACTTCCTGTCATACTTGATTTTTTAAACAGAGAGCTATTCAACGTCAATTCTTGAAAACTTTCGTAATTTTTCTTTTCCGTGCTAGGCAAATTCTGAGAAAACCTCAAGAGGTGAAGTTGATTTGTTCTCCTTTAAAAAATAAAACAGGAGTGGTCATTTTTAAACACCGCAAATGAGATACGTGGTTAGGAGTTTCATCGTTGATATTAGTGGCGTGGTGTGCTTTGCGATATATAGATTGATTTGCCATTTAAACCTATGGGAAAGGATCGATAGACAGGGTGTTCGCAGCGAACACCTTTATAATCGATTATTCTTTACCATATCTGCAAATGGAGAAATATCGATGATCGATCATTCACGCCACGCCACTAGTTGATATGGACTGAGCTCAGCAAAAACGTACCCTGGTGAAAATTGGCAGTAGAATCTGTGGTCCAAAATACCATAGACCTACAGCCGGCTGTAAGATTTCCAATAGCTTCTTTAGCCGGCTACACAATTTCTTATAGCCTTTTATAGCCGATGTCGATTAAGCAACAGCCAGGCGATAAAGTGTATGCTAAGCGTTACTAATTACGGATGCTAGGACTTAGTGAGTTTTTGGAATACTGCTCTCTTTTTGGGCCGTAGTATCTTGATTTATTTTGCGAGGAAAGCTCCGTACTTGTGATGGATGCCTGCCATTACTAATACATTAGAGCGCCTTCAGTTTCGTATGATACTGTGCAATACCTCTGGTGTGAAATAGTTGCTTCAAGCGCCGTGGCAAGCTGCCGTGCGGCAGGCGGGCAGTCATCGCGAAACGCGCATTGGCGCCTACAAACCTAACAGGGATACTTCACGCGTTGCGCAATGCGTGAAGTATCCCTGTTGGGTTTGTAGGCGCCAGTGCGTCACCGCTCCGCTTTGTGTTAGGCTCTAATATTTAATCTGGCGGAGTCAGCGTTATTCAACTCATGATTTTGAAATTTTTGCACATCCTGTATGGATTATTATCATTATAATTGATGAAAAAAAAATATGTATTAAAGGAAAATATAATGTGCGTTTTGTAAATATTAAGGTGGTTCCGTATCAAACTAAATGATTTCCAAAGCACACGAATTTCTACACAATTGCTTATAGCCTTTTATAATCGATGGCGAAAAAGCAACAGCCAGGCAATAAAGTGTAAAGCCCGGCGATAGGAACTATAGCCCGGCTGCATAATTTTTTATCGCTTCGTATAGCCCGGCCGTATGATTTTCTCCGCATTCTACAGCCAGCTATATGATTTTCTGTAGCCTTCTTTGGCCGGCTATAAGAAGTCCTATGGTATGTTGAAACGCAGCTCTTATCGCCAATTTTTACCAGGGTATTGGCTCGCATTTTGAGGGAAAAAATGAATTGAGAGTAAATTAAAATTCAACCAGTCGTAAATTTTCTACCGTGAAAAGTTCAAAGTCGTGCAAAAATATTGTGAACGTGAAAATGATCGTTATAATTTATCCTCAGCATTGAGTCTTATGGAAGAGTAAAACCTCAAACCTGTTTTTCTCGGTTCAAACTTGATGCGACTTAGTCTGCCGTGCTGAGGAATAATGCCATATGAGCCCCCAGACGTTGTCAAATCTCCTTAGACAACTCACAAATTTTCGGGGAAATTTGTAAAAAAAAAATCCAAATTTTCAGTGAAAGTTCGTAATTTGATCTGAAGTGTCTGAAAATTTCAAGGCAAAATATTCACAACGTTCTTCAATAGGAAATATTTCTTAAGAGGCAATTTGGCAACATTCGAATGCTGATACGGCGCTTTGCCTCAGCACGGCAGAATATACTGCTGACCTGGGGAAAAACGTCCTATGAACACCCGAGAGTTCCCAAACTTCCTTCGATAAAATGTTTAATTTTGAGAAAAGCTAAGGATATTTTCGCTTGAAATTTTCAGGAACTTCAGGTGGTATTGCCAACAAAATTATCTGAAAAATTGGAAGAAAAATATTTACAAATTTTCCCGAAAATTCGTAATTTACTTAAGGAAAGTTGGAAACGCCTGAAGACTCATACGGCGTTTTTCCTTAGCAAGGCGGTATTGTTTCTGGTTTGAAATGGCAAGTGAATGCTCGGATAACATTTTAAATTGAATCATTATGTTCAGCTGCCAGTATTTCAACGAAATGACCCGCTGATGCCCATCAAGAAC